GGTTTAGGCCTTCCTTCTTTGGGACCTTGGCAAGGTAGCTTTTCTTCCAGTCGGATTGCACATCTCCTCCTCTCCAAAGCTTCTGCAATGGCGGTGTGGGCATGTACACCGTTGTCTCTGAGTCCTTTTTCAGTGCTTCTGGAAGAATAAGTCTGTTATGTTTTATATTTTCTTTGTGCTTTGAAGTTTCCTTGGCGATTGGATTGGTTTCACGGGGTATAGTTGCTAGCCCTTTGCCCAACCTTCTCCCTATACCCGGGCTTAGCACCGGCTAGTAACCAGTGAACCAGTTAACCAGGCGAGGTCGACCTAGACTGCAGAAGTAACAATAATAATTTACTTTTGAATTTACAAGTGTCTATCAGTCTTACGGATACAGTCAAAACATTTAGTGGTGAAAATCTCTGATAACTTTTTTAACACCTATTTTCATCCAGGTTAGAGGAAGTCCCCAGCCTGAAGGAAGGAAGATTTTAAACCACGCGCAAATGGTGAGCTTTAAGTTAAATGTTAAATTTTGCTATTGTTTTAGGTTATCTGGCGGAAATGAAAGCCATGTTCAATGAATATATAAAATTGCCATTCAAAAACGAGGGGGAAGTAATTTAGCAAGACCATTCTGAAAACAGTAATGACGGCCAAATTACTCAAATGTCCTCTTTTAAAGGATCGTGTATGTGGGGGTAAGTACCGCTGCAGATTTCATGTACTTTTCAAAGTAGATGCACCTCCAGATGCCACCAATGGCGAAAATACGATTGAAAACGATCTAGACTTAGCTACTGCTTATTTACTGAAAAAGACTATTTTCTTCTTCATTTCATAATTAGCAGGATCTTTCGGTGTTATGGTAAAGCTTGATGACCCCCTTTTGTGCCATTCGGGACCGCTAAAATCTTGTAGATTTTTCCACAAATGGTTGCAAACTGCCTTCTCTCACGCCAAACTCGCAATGTGAGAAAAAAGTTGATTGTTTCACTTTCAGGCTGATGTATATCGGGGAAGTACTCATTGTTTTAACCTGTTGTAGTAGAATCGAAAATTTCTGACAGTCCTACCTATGAGCAAAGCTGTAGACCTGCCTTTCTATTACTGTCTTATTAGGAACTATCCTTGCTGCTTTAAAGGTTGTTTCGTTCTATAAGAGATTTTCTTTTGAATCTATGCCGAAAGTGCACAGGACAGCGACGATCCTGTAGGCAAGGTCTTAGTCTAAAACACTGCATGGAAATGGGATGTACATGCGCAAGTGACAATAAAACAAAACAGTAGCAAACCACGAAATAAGCTGCAGCAAACCCCTTAATACCGCGTTTTCTGCCACACTCTCTCAGATACTGGAAAGCCTGCCAACCACCTCTATCCGAGACTTATTCAATTGGCGGCTCACCAGCCACTCTATCCAACACGTCTCTTGGGCTTAAAAAACGCTTATCACCTACTTACTGACTTCTTAAGATGATTGTGCAGCTGGCTGTCATCCTTCTTTTCCTTGCAAAAGGCTTCCGTAGTGTTTCTGAAGAAAACTATCCAATGGGCTTGTACAGACAGAAACCTGAACAGCAAGCAGTGGCACAAGCCGCAACCCAGGAAAATGCAACTTATGGGATAGGTGGGATCAGCTGTACCCTAAGTAGAAAAAATATTATACGAGGGGCCAGAGATAAAGGATTTCCGTCGTTTTTCTTCCGTACAGTAGGCGCGATTAAGTGAGGAATCGAAATGATAGTGGGTGCTAAGTCTGCCGTATGCATACATCCGAGACGCGTTGAGTCTGTCGACTTCGGACCCTACTTCATGGTCTAGCAAACCTTTAACGAGACACACCTTTGGGTTCTTAGCACACCAGCCATTCCACTGCCTATGAGAGAATTGAACCCTCCGAAAAATGTGCAACAGGAACAGCCGGATGTGTTTTTGGACTGCAGGATTCACTCGCAAACACACGCTGTGGTGCAGACCTGAGAGGCACTGAGGCTAATCGCCAGTTGGTTCTTTCTTTGGAAAACCCAAGAATGCAACACCGAAGAAGAATACGATTGTCTGGCCAAGTAAGCATGGTATATCTGATAAACTTAGCCAAAACAGTGACGCTTTCCCACTGACCTGATGGAAGACTATGTGCAAATAAAGCAAATGAATACGACGGCATGCTAAATGGTATGGATGCTTGAACATGCGTCTGAGGCCTAACATCAATGTAAATCGCATCGGAACGTGGTCTACTGGTTTTCAGAAGTTGTTCACCTGCACGGACTTCCCTTAAGTGGATCCAACAACTTATTGACTCCAAACACCGTGGGAAAAGATTTGACTCGACGGCGTTGTACAAAGCTGTTTAACAGGTGAGTCACCCTTTTGGCACTTACGCCTAACTTTGACAGGCATCCATGAGGGAAATCAGCAGTGACAAAACATGGAAATGGGGCACACTTGAGCCAGTGATAGATGCCTCTTTAAGGATGTATTTCTTCTGAGACGTTCTTACACAGGAGGCAGTAATGGCCTCTCAAAGACGTCATCCGGAGTATTGTTTTGCAAACAGTTTGCAGTGCCCTCATTTGTTTTGTGAACCCGTGCAAGCTGGCTGGTTTCTTGGCATCCTGGTCTTAAGGAAACGACCCACATGTACATACATGTTTTGCGATTAACTTACACAAGGATTCTTAAGCCTTGGTAACCCATCAAAACGCTGCCGCAACATTATTGTACCCTCTTCTCAGTATTCAGTGTTCAACAGCGCTTACCACTATAGCCCAACGACTCAGTTTTTTTCCCCTTTACTGTTAGGCATGAAAACCTGTTTCCATGTCAGCTGCTGAATAATATACGCTCACTCCCACAGATTTTGGCTTCCGTGCGGGTGATGACAGTGTAGTGCACCTTCCTGGCACCAAAATATAACTAGCTTGCCTCCGGATGCTTAGGGTGTTTTAAGTTTTGTTTCAACGAGCCTGCATCCGAGCAGGCTTGGACGCCATTTTTACGCTCCATTGTGCTGATCACCACGCACGTACTCCGAGTCCCTAGTTCAGCCTTACAAGCCAGATAAGTTGATTAAACTTTCCCCTCATTCATTATTATTACATTTACCTTAAATACATAGCTCCTTTAAATACACTGCGTATCAGTTCTTTTGATTTGTGTTTTGTTATCAGTACTTACACGTTAGGTAAAGTACCGGTTAAGCAGGTACTAGAGCACATCAAGTTAAGTAGGGTTGATCAAACGTTACGGAATTGTAACACACGCATCCCTACAACAGTATGAAGTCTACAAATAGTCACGGTAGCCACGTAGCTTCCTTGCTTAACTAACCTAGAAACTATTGAGAGGAACAAAGGAGATACGATTCTTTTACAGTACCCAGTTGAGGCTGCACCACGCTTCTATAATAAATGTAAGCACAAGTGACCCAGTGGTTTATTCTGTAAATTGCTGCGAAGGGACAAAAACAACCTTCATGAATAAACCACGATATCCAGGGTTTACCACGGCGAAAGAAAAGTTTTCAGGGTCATGTCACTTACCCTGGTACACGTGAGGTGAAGAGACGTTATGAAGTCCAAAGGAATGGTAATGCTGCTATTAGTCGGTCTAGAGTTCACTTTAAACACTTCCAGCCTGGGTTGCAGTGCAGCTCCCGAAAGGTGCATCTTTAAAAATGAACAGTAGGAATACGATAAGAACAAAGCAGAGGCTATCGGGTGTTATTTGGGTGGGACCTTTATCCAAGAACTTTCGATAGACATAAATTTAGCAGTGACAGTATTGTCACCCACGGGAATAAGCTCCGTGAATATCCAGTGGATATGGAGAAACTAACGGGATCCAATGAGTTATGCCTAAGGCGTCTTTTGGAGGTGGTCCGGTGACTACTGTATTTAGACTGCCTTCACCGAAGAGAAAATCTGACGTGACGAAAGGACGCCAGCCACATTTGTCCACGTGACGGACTCTAAGCAGCACTCATCAAATTACAGACCGATAAGCTTGTCTGGTATTGTGGTTAAAATGCTAGAGAAAGAAAGCAAGAAAGCCACTGCCATCCACCTAAGAAGCAGCACTCTACTGTCCATTTCGTAGCATCGCTTCCACAGAAGTTTCTGTTGGCCGAAGAAGCTTTTCACAGTCGGGGGATATTTGGATCTTGTCCAAGGGTCTTAAGATACCTGTTGAAGGATTGTCCTGGTGCGAACTGGACAGTCGCAGAGGCCAGTCACTAATTATTACAAGTTGTTACATACCCAGGAATTCGAGACCAAGGAAGAACACGATAGCGTAGTCGGATGGAATAGTGTATTTGCTAGGTCGTGCCGGGATATCGATGCGTTCCAACTAACTGGCTAGAGAGTCGCTTACGAGCAGTGCATTGCAACACGACAGCGTGCTAAATGGCGAGGATGCTTGACAGGGTGCCTTCAGCTTAGCGAGTCCAGTTAAACTATCAAGGTCAGTACCAATTTTGAATCTCGTCAAACCCTAGGCTATTGATTCTGGGGAAGCGTGTGATGCTACAGAACACTCCCCCTAGGGGGTTCGTGGGGCCCTAAGACGATACCAGCTGGAAGTAAAAACATAACTAGTCCGTTAAAGCTATGAAGATTAGCAACAATGTCGATTGTGGTTGAAATGCAGGTTATTGATTATGGGAGAGAACATTCGCTGCTACTAAGTATTATCCATGCCATTAATCGACTTATTCAACACATGACAAGACAGACGCTGATATGTACTAGGGTCATAACCTTCTGTCCTCAAAGTACAAATCTGGATTCAAATCAAATCTGACTCCTGACAGCTAAACCAGACAAGTTGAAAGGACTTTCGTACTCATAAAAGGAGTAAAGATAAGTAAACATAACCCAGATTGGGGGATTTGGCCCGAAATTTCAGAAAATGTCAACCTTATATACTGGATTGTATTTTGAGCCTGAAAGTCCAATATCTAACAGCCTAACATATTGGACGCTAGAACCTTTCCGTAATGTCAGCACTTTGTAGGGGTGCGTTACATTAATTTTGCAAGCTCGAGTGCTACATCAGAGTTTTCCTAGCCTAGTACTAACCTTATACGCATTACTGACATGTGTGGATGTCATTGTAATCAGCTGATAGTTATTTGGTTTGAAGTTAGTCAAATTTGTATCGCAATGTAAGGTTTCAGTGATCGATAACAGTAATGTACATTATCTTGACGTCAAGATAAATTGGGAAATGTTTTTATGGGTTCAGAAGTTTATGATTCAAAGGCTCCAAATTTTATGTGTTAAATTTATGAGATGTGATTTTCTCAAGTTTTTCTTTTACGAAAGGGGAAAGTTACACAAATCTTTCAAAAATTTCTTTCGCAGACTTAAAGTCCCTTTCCTGACGTGCATTCTGGATGTAGAGAAAATATTGTTGAATGTCTTATGATTTTGTTTGGAAAAGATCATGTTCAACTTGTTGGGCGCTTTCGTTCGTAAGTAGTCTATACGATATGCCTCAAAAGCATTGTGGAGCAGTTTGGTGTAGTAGAAAATCTAGACTAACTTAGATTGCTAGATCCTTGTGTGATGGTCAAAGTAGCACTTCATAACACATTTTCATTACGCTGATCCAATCGTACACTCTGTCCTGAGGCCTGGACATTTTATTCTTATTCATATTTGTTGTTTGAGGATAAGACGCTAGGAGCCTACATTAATCCTTTTGCAGTGTATTTATGTGCTTGTTCAATCCCCTTTTAAACGGGCCAGTTGATGATGCGGACACCACTTCTTCTGGGACTCGGCTCCAGGCATTAATTACTCGCGAGAATCAGTACTCTACGGAGATTGTGTTCGTTCTTTGCTTTTGTAGTCTCCTACTATGTCCCCTGAGGTGTTCCACTCTGGCGGGAAGAAAAAGAGGAGACAGATCAGGTTCGAAGCCATTTTTTAGAATCCTGTATAGCATGATTAGGTCTCCCCTCGGTCTATGATATGATAAAATGAAGAGGTTCAGCTCTTTAAGTCGATCTTCATAGGTGAGGACAGCCATCGCAGAGATCATACGAGTGGCTGCCCACTGAACTCTTTCTAGAAGGTGTGCGTCACCTTTCAGACAAGGATTAGCCGCCTGTGTACAGTCTTCTAATTTAGACCTAACTAAGGATGTGTATAAGATCTCACCACTTATTTTCGTAAATGTTCTACGTAATGCCTAGAGTCCTGAAACTCCGAGCTGCTACAGTGTGCAGTGGTCTTCAAGTCATAACTCACTGTGACTCCTAGGTTATTGTGGGTCAATACTGACGGTAGAGGAGTCCCACCAATATCGTAGGTGTTACTGTGTGCATCAAGTGCATGCTCACACATTTACCTGCATCGATAGTCATCAGTCACTGCTCTGACCAGGTAAACAAGCTTTTTAGGTCTGCCTGAAGGACACGTATATTCTCGTCGTTCCTAATTTCCCTTCAGATTTTTACATCAGCGTTGAGAACCATAAAAGATTTCGTGATATTTGGCAGCTCATTTACGTGTAGGAGAAACATCAGGGGGCCAAGGACTATGCCATCTGTCACTCACCTCTCTACCGACTTCCAAGAGGATAGTTGAGAATTGATCGTTACTTTGTCTCCTACCAAGAACTAACTGTCTGATTGTCGGTGATTCCTAAGCTTTTCAGTCTCCCCAGCAGCCTGGAATGAAGTATCTTGTCGAACACCTTACTAAAGTCTATGAAAATGACATCTACAGGTATCCTATCATCCTTTGACTTAATCCAACTATCTCTTGCTGCGAAAAGGTTCGTCAGGCAAGGGAAATTTCCGCGAGGGCCATTCTATGAGCGTTGCTGTCTAGGTGAATTATAATGGCCTACTCGATCACTGTTTGTAGGATTTTTACCACAGTATTAATCAAACTTATCTGTACGTAATTCAATGAGCTCTGTCTAGAACCTGCATTGTAGACAGGTGTGACATTGCGTCCTTCCAACTACAGGGGGGGGGTATGCTTTATCTGAGAGACAGTTTATATATCGTAGTCAGTGTGCCGACTACATAGAGTTCAAGCCCTCTGGACTGCTTTGTGTCCCGTTGATTTTTCTACATCGAGAGTACTTAATGTCCTAAAGACGTCGTTGTGGTCGATATCCCCAGAGTAATTCTGCTGAATATCAGACCTTTTGCTGTTGAAGTAGTGTCCACGGATGGACCCTTTGTATTGACCTCAGCCAAATATCTGTCCATGGCTTCTGCTTTTATCTTATCTTCAACTAAACAGTCGGTTTCTGTCGCTTTGATCAGGGCGGCTATACCACGATGTCTTACTCTTATTGTTCATATAGGAAAAATACGTCTTTGGATATTGAAGTACAGCCTGGCTAAGACGTGTTTTGGAGGATATTCGATACCGTGGGTTAGCAGCGATACATTTATTTCGGGCTTCTTTGTAATACTTCATCACTTTAGGAGTACCGAGGTGGATGACAAGACTTCAACACTTCTTGGATCTTAGCAAGATTCGGATTTCGTGGTTTATCAACGGGCGACAATGTTTCCTTCCCCGTAGGACAGTCCACAGAATAAACGGTCGGGTCACTCGTACGTATAACTGTTTGGAGGAGCACCACACACCCTCAACTGAGGCTTCTGGATTGACTGTCTGGTCCTCTGAAGAGGCTGGCAGGGTAATAGCCTCCATATTCGCTTTCCATTTGTTGGGTCTGGCTGAGGCATCGGCCTGGTACAAGACGTTTGCTGTGAATCTGAAGGTGATCACTTTCACCAAGGGGTGCTAGGTGTTAGATAAAGGATACATCGTCTGTGTATGAGATACTAAGTCTGGAACTGATGGAGCATGGTGATTGTCGTATCTGGTTGGTATCCTGATGTTCTGTATTAGGGTTTAGGAAATTGATGTTCCCACTAACCTGTGATCACACGAGTTACGTGGTGCTTTTGCTGTTGATCTATCCCAGTCAACTTATGGTGCTTTGAAGTTTCCTACAAACAGACATCGGCATTTATCTGTCCAGAGGGTCAGCTTATTCAGGAGGAAGTCTGCTGCCTCACACTCAGGGCTTGGATATACTACGACTACGTTAACTTCTTGTCCCTTGCATTTTAGTCGGCAGCGCAGCATTTCACATGTCCCACTTTCATGTGCGACTTTCTATGGCCTTTACAGTTAAGGAATCCCTAACGTTAAGGATGACACCACCACCTTTGCTCGCTAGCCTGTCACTTCTAAAAGGGACAAATCCTGGTGTGTTTCACAGTCACTTATCCAAGGAGAGGGCCAAGTTTTTGAGATAGCAATCATATCAGGACTTTTATTGCTTATCACATTACTGAGCTCAGTTCACTTGTTTAAAAAGCTACGCGGATTTGTGTCAAGACAACGAAACTACTTAAATGAGTCCCCATCCTATCCATAGGGGCTTCGGCATCATTTGTTACAGAAACCTCACTACACGAAAGCCCACTGCTTTCAGGTCTTGCTCTCCTGCTGATAATCTGGATTTTAGTTCTACTTCTGCTTCTCATTCTTGGATTTGATCAGCGAGAGCCAAATCCTTTCTTACGAACACTCTAGATCCTTGAAGTCTGTGAGCGTTCTTCATAATCTGATCCCGCTCATCTGCTGACTTGAACACGACTTTAAGTAGCTGAAACTTGTTTTCAGTAATGACTGTCTCCTGTTATCCTATTCTATATATCTTGAGTAGGGTAACTCGTGTCATGTTTTCCGGTAAAAGCTGGTTTATCAAACTTTGTACCTTGCCAAGGTCATGTTCGAAACATTTACGTGGTTCTGGGTCTCTACTTTCTTCCACTCTTTGGAAGATTACGGACTTGTCAAGGAGCTCTACTTTGTTTTTGTTCTGTGGAGTGATGGTAGCTGGTTGGATGACCTTTATTGTCTTCTTAGCATGCCGTTTAGACTTGGTTACTTACCATTTTTCAGAGTCGGGTGTGCAAGGTTTACTAAAGCCTGGTCCAGTGGCCTTGACGCTGACAGCCTCAGAACGGACTTGCATCCCATTCTGTTCAGTTGGTGTTAATGATTGTTCTCCGAACTGGGTATGACCTGTGACCTGCATGGCTCCGCTGTTGGCACTGAGAGTGCTTCACTCCTGTTTCTTTCATCTGAAGTAGATCTAGTCTTACGGTCAGCAATTTTAAGACTAGGTCTCCCAGCTATGGGGATGCGAGAACCAGAAGATACTCGCTTCACCCTGCTTGGCGTAGTTTTTTCTAAGTCGCTGTCAGCAGACCTAGTAGGTACTCTACGCGTCCGACTTACAGCTTGTCGCGGGACATTCTTAAAATTTTGCACAGCAATCTGTGTCAATGGATGCTGTGTCTTTATCACTATCACAGTTATCGACTTTGACTTTCGCCGATAGTTTCTTAGTTATCGTATTTATAAGTGTTTTTGGTTCTTCTACCAGAGTGCGAATATCCGAGCAGCACAACGTGCAAAGCCAGACGCTTCCTGCGTTTCTATACATTTTATATGCTGAGGGTGTGTGGCTTGTACAGTTGTCGTGGAACCAATTCTTACATTCGCTACACTGCATATCAGAGGGCACTGTGAAGTAGCACCCAGCCCTACCACAAGCATTTTCACGACACCTTTGACTCACTATGTAGCAGAAACTACAGAAATTCGCCCAGTAAAAGTTCCTGTCTCACTTTAATCGAACAATATCCCAATTAGAGCAAAAATACAACAGCCTTCTGTGTGTAAAAGCAAAAAATGCCAAGAGTCTAGCTGAACATGAAAAGTCACTGCTCTTTTCATCTATCAATCTCTCTCCTCTCTTACGCATTAGTCTACTTTAGTGTCAATTTCTAACAACTTCCGCGCAGTTGGTTGTTCTGAGGTGGGGCAAATTGAACTAGTACACTTATATGTCACGTTCCACGTTGATTTGTACGTCTATTCTGCTAATTTATCTGTATCATTGTATACTTGTCTTCATTTACTGTCCCTTCTGCAGCTTTTCATTATCCTTATTTTGTCTTTTTTTATAACGCAACACTTCGTACGACAATTTATGATTTTATTAGAATATCATCTAATCAGCAGAAACAGTAGTGCTCCTAAGAGTTTATTGCGAAAAGCCCTTACTCAACATTGGCTTTCAGCCTGATTGTCTTACATTTATTCTTCCTAGTCTGTGTAATAACATGAAAGCACCTTATCAGTTACAAATCATTATCCTTGAGTATAGTTTATGATTTAAACCGTCGAAGCACATGGCAATGTGCTTAAATTCACCCTCAATGATAAACTCTTAAAATTAATTAAATATGCCTTTATCTGTGTCTGTTGTTAATGTTACAGATGAGTTTTCACAGCGTGTAACAAAAGCCGAGACAATGTACGCTAAGATGGGTTGTTTTTGGGGCTATCACTACAGTAGTTTGACAATAAAGGGTTAGATGTACGGCACTTTGTTACCTGCATGCCTATGTAGTGTAGCTCCCCTTGGCTGAGAGTGTCTGATGACTCTATCTAATCACACTTATCTCTGTAGGACTACTCCTACTAGGTATTTTCTTGAAAGTAACTGGATTCCTAAGGTGTATGTTCGTGTATGAGACATATCGCCGTTTGATAAGTTATGCCAGCTTAAAACACTGACTTTCGACAATTTAGACATTTCTTACACTTGTCGTTACAGTAATACAGCATTTACGAGATGATTTTTCATTCAGATTATTGTTCATGGTCATGCTAAGGTAATCACACAGCTTTTTGTGTTCGTTTTTATGGTTTAACCAATTTCTTCTTTTGCAGGGGTATTGGGATTTCCTGAATATTTGGGATGTGTTATATCATTCCTGTTGCATATATTGAGCTTCATTTAGACTAATAAAGTTTACGTAAGCAATCTGTTTCCAGTTTCTTTCGCATTTTTAAACTGTCATCCTCTCCCAGTCACATGGTATTTATATATCAGTACAGTAATAACAATAGCTAAGGTGTTCTCCAGGTTGATTATCTTAGTCCAGTCTATACTTAGCTAAAGTTCTGTTTTTCGATTACTGGACTGAATCTAATCAGTGGGTTTGTACGCAGTTTATCGAAAGAAAATAGTGTTCATTCTTGTCATTCCTAAGTTTGCAGTACTTTTCAACTAGACGATGAAGAAACGCCTATCAGCTGGGATTAGTTAACAAGTGCACTCCACTCTAGAGCTTTATGTTATACTCACTCCCAGAAGATTATGGAAATTAACCACTGGATCCCCAAGTGCCTATACAGTGAATATTTTAGGCTCATCGTACAGGTCAGGTTAGGAGAATGGCTAGACCTAGATCTCTTGGGAATGTTCCAATAACTTAGCAGGCATAGTTAATCTGGAGTTCTTTTTTCGCTAGTGGAACTTGCTGTACAATTCGAAGTAGTGTAAATGTGTACTACTGATGGAGATTTCATGAGATCAGGAATGTCATTTTGAGACTGCATTAGCTTTATGGCAAAATGAAGTACAAAACTTATGGAAGCATTACTAAGAAAAGATGAAGAATTTGTAGAAAGCAAAGAATAAGAAAGTTTTGTGCTTAGAAAGAATTTGGGCGCTACCGAAGTCATGAAGGTTATTTGACAGTCGATAGTCACTCGTTGTTTCTTAAGTTGAGATACTATTTGCGGTCCTCTTTACCGAATAGTGTAATCGTAGAGTTAAAAATTCCCAAACTACAGCGAGCACACAGAATAGTCTTCGAAATTCCTGTTTTCGATTCTGCCGCACCAGGTTTAGAGTCTAGGAACATTGCCATGAATACCTGAACCTCCTTGAGCAAGGGAAGCACTGTTATACTCTTTCATCTGTTTTCGACAATAGAAAAGCATCATTGGAGATGCCAGTTATTTTCAGCCAACAACTCGTTGCTTTCTTACTCTGATGCAGTCAGCGATAGGAATTCGTTTGCGAACCTGACATTATTTTGAAGTATTATAAATTGACATTAATCATCTTTGCTCGCACCACTGTACGAGTGACCCCCTGTTAGCATACCATAACATTAAAAATAACCATCTCAACCAATTCATTTCGATGGATTCTTTACATCTGGCTAGCCAAACCTTCATTTCAACTGAGAAACTACTGTCGGAATACTTTTTGCCACCCCGACAAAGCACTAAGTTAACGCTGTCATTGTAATCATAATGATCTGTTTGAAAATTTGTTCGCTTATTGGTTAGTTCCCCTTGTTGTTCATGTTATCAAGTATCGTAACACGAACTTACATCTTAAAACCGTTCAAATCCTAAATTCATACTAGTCATACCCTAACATATATTGGTTAATTTTAGCGTCAAGTTTCTTTGACATGATTCTCACCAGTTGATAATCAGACAAACCTTTGTAGTGATCTCATCCCTGCGTACACTTTATGGCCAATCCATTTGATGACACAATCTTAGAAGGATTTATCTGCCCGAAATGCATGCTCACATTTGGCACACCTGATCTACTGAGCCATCATTTCAATTTAGATCATCAAAACTCGAGTATTCCAGAGAACGAAGGTTTGCATTATTGTGACTATGCTAGCTTTCAGTAGAAATTATATCAACAACAAAATCGGTATTCAGAACACAATCTAATACACATATTTCGTTTGCCTTCTATGATCGGAAGGATGATACTCAATCAATTGGTGAGTTACCTTGAAAATTTATTTTGAAATTTAGGCATTTGTCAGTCGCTGACGTCAAATTTCATGGAATTACGAAAATGTCATGTAAATCGTAACTCAGTAGAAACAAATAGCTTGCTAATACGTCTAGAAAAATTAATTGACTTGGGTGATGCACATGAAAGTGATAGAAAAGGTAATCTTCACTCATCCACTTGGTTTACTTTTAGCACTTGAGCAAACCATTGTGCCTTGGATTGATGCAAAGATCGATCTTTGTCCATGCTGCGGCAAGGCGTTTGGTCTAGGTGCTGAGATGGCTTATCCAGATGAAGACGACAATTACGTGGATCCTTCAAAAAATAGTATGACTGATATTTCCAAATCTTGGCTTAGCAAAACTAATGTCACTCGTTTGACAAATGCCATATTGGACTATAATCCTGTTTATCGTCGAAGACATCACTGTCGTCTTTGCGGATCTATTTTGTGTGCTGATTGCAGTTATTTTGTGTCTGTACATAATGCTCGTAGTCTTCTAAATGCTCTTAATGGGAAGGATTTAGATCTATTCCCAGTTTCTACCAACACAAACGATGCAAGCAATGAGCCCGATTTCTCCATTCAGTCAGAAGATATGTTTCGAAATGGAAATACTCCTAGTTCTGAAAGAGGTAAGTGATTTCATCCTGGTTATAGCAAGTGGATGATGACAAATACTTTGTACCCTTGTAATGATGTTTACAACAATAATCTGTTGATCCAAATTCACTACATGTTTTGCAACTGAGACTTTGATAGCATTTGCCTACCCGTTTTCTCTAGCTATACAACACTATGTTGTTCACCTTTTACCGAAGAATTTTATTCATCGGTTTGACTAGTTTGTGGTTTATTTAATTGTTCATTGGTATTGGTATAAATAATCTTCAATTTAGCCAAGTTTAGATGTGCGACAAACCACGTAGTACTTCCGTAGGGGCTACTGGACCTGGTGGTTGCAACCCGTTGGTGAGATGGAATCAGCTGAAACACCTGACAACAGCCGAGTGCTGTTTTAAATTATCCGAATCATTGATACCAAAAATCCTGATTTCAGTCAGTGAGGCAGATGATATGCTAGTCAATGGCTTTCATAGGCATCTGGAACGCTAGGCAGAGTCCTTCAGAAAGCAACCGTGGTGACCTAATGCACTAGAAGTTTAAACCGAAGTCTCTTGTTTTCCATGGTCGGTTGGTCATTCACCTGACGAAGCAGAAGTCTAAAAGAAAGTATTCTGGTGTCGTGAGATGACTTATTTCCAGCCCTTCTTAAGAATAGGGACGAAAATGTAGTCTGAAAATTGTTTGAAAATGTTCAACACATTAAGAGTGACTCATCATTCCACAATGATGCCATTGTTGTACCCATCTCTGAAAAGGGTGTGCGTAACTTGTATGACAATCGTGCGGTATCAGTCCTGTCGGAAATATTGCCTGCTGTCATACTTTGCAAATTGCATAAGAACTATTTCACGAGGACGAAGCCTGATTTTTTTCAGATCATGGATGATCTCAACATATATTCACTCTGTGTCGAATACTCAAATACCATCAACCTTACTGAAATCCAGTGGCTATTGTCTTTCTTGATATTCCACCTTCTATTCGTTTGATAGGATTGTGCTCTAGAATTATCCATAAGACAGATGTCCGTTCAAAGTTCATAATCATCCTAAGATCCGCGTGCCACAACGCCTAAAACAGAGTGAAGTCATACATCCTCCTCTGTCCACTCTTCCAACTCAACAATGGGGTCAAACAACACTGTCGATTTTGTCACTCCTCTTTATTTACTATCGACAACACTCTCAAAACAGATTTTAAGGATGTGCTAAATGATGCTGTAGAACTGTAATCGTGATAAGAACTTTCGAGATTTGATTATATAGACGACATCGTCTTCATCTCTGATGAAATACTAGCTACTCAAATCCAATTTAATCAGTTGATGATTCGCACCCATATGATATGGCTGTTTTGTGTGCGGTTTGCACCACTGAAGTGAAAAATATTCCTGTTAAATTGACAGCAACGTACGCTCCACTCACCCTTGGTGGTAAACTGTTGGAAGTTGTCGAAGAGTTTGTGCACCTGGACAGTTAGTTGTGTGAGTGCTCGTGGCGGTGTGACTGATGAGATTTCCAACAGTATATCACTAGTCAGAATGACACTGATCCACCCTTAGCACATTCATCTTGTTGTACGAGGTTGTGTATACACGGCATTGGTACAAGTGTTTTCACTTTACACCTGTCGAACCAGACCTCTTCGAACTGACGATGTCTGACAGTTGTGTGTTCCCGATCACTTTTGTCACTCACCGTGGGATCGCTCGCATCCAGTGCAAACATCATGTAAATGATTCTGAGATGAGTCGGTACATTCTCGGATGTGATTGAGGTTTCCACTCAATGAGTGTGGTCATCGTGAGACACTGGTTTAAGATGCATGCAAACGGGTTAGGAATGTCATCCGAACAGCTTCCACTCCACTCACTGTTTCTTCGCCTTGAGTATGGTTGACAGAATCGAAGAGATGGTCAATGTAGGATGTGGTGCTATGGGATGGAGGGAAGTTTTGTTGAGTGGGTATGTGTTAGTTTTTTTGTGAGTAACTGGATGATGTTGGAAAGACCATGCAACGCAGCGAGTGTCTTGAAGTGATAGTGATATGTATCACAATCGAAATCAGTGATGACCATGTTGCAGTTTTCTTGTTTCTTTTGCCATCAAAAAGTAAGATGAAGGTAATCAATCTTTGTTCGAATGATTTTTCGAGACTGCTTTCTTATATTTTCTGTTTTTGTCTTCCTTGCTTTTTATCCTCTCATTGTTATGTATGGTGCATTTCTTGATACTCATACTGTTATCTAGTTTATGTTTCATGTTTAAAAATATGTAACTTGTCATGTGAAATGAACCGTTGTGAAAAAGTACATTATGGGGAAAGAAGCTAAGACGCTATGTGTAAGATTGTGCATGTCAGTATATGGGTTAGTGAAGAAATTTCATATGATTTGTGAAAAAGAAGTGTTTCAAGTAGGAAATAGGTTGCGTGGAGTTTTCTAAGCGGAAAGGTGACGCTTTGTGGTTAACAGAACACTACGACAATTGTCTCAAAACCGAATGCGACAAACTAGATAGTCTTTATTTTTGCTAAATAATTATTAAGTAAACATTTGAAGAAGGAATTCACTGTCAGCCCCGGGAAAATTACCTAGGTATATTTATGCAAATAGTCTTACTGGGTGTAGTTCATTCATTCAAGGATAACTGTCATTTTGAAGGTAGCTTATCTTTTAGGTTAATATTAGTCGAAAATAATGAGGAAACAACCGATTGTTATATTATTATTTGTCCCTTGGGTTCCGAGTGGAACATAGGGCTTAACTAGCACGTCAACATTTCACTCTCTTCTCTGCAGTCTTTTCAACCTGACTCCACCACTGCCCACAAGCTTTCATTTCTTCCTCACATGATCTCCTCCATATCACACTCAGCTGGGACGCCCAACTCGTCGTTTCCTCTTGAGGGCGTGGCCTGGCGCGTGATGCCACCGAATAGTCTTCTCAGTGTATGCCCAATCCATGTCCACTTTCTTTTGCATATTTGTTGGGCGATGGGTTCTTGGTTGGTTCGTTGTCAGGCCAGAGTTCCTTGTTGCTTATTCTTTCTGGCAATCTGGTCTTCAGCAACGAGCGTAGGTGGCAGGTGTTGATGAATGTCTGTAGTTTGTTGGAAATGCTCTTCGTGATGCGCCAAGTTTCTGGCTTGACATTAGTGTTGAAAATCCGGATCTTGTTCACGCTTTATGCTGAGTGCAGTGCAGTAGATCTCCACACTGGTTTCAGACTGGTGAAGGCCTGCCTTACTGTCTTTCCGATCCTGGCTTCGACGTTTTCATCTGTGCTTGTGCCACCTGTAGTTGAACGATGCTGCCTAGATAGGTGAAAGAGACTACTTCCTTTAGGTTTCTCCTGCTGATTGTGATTGGTGCTTGTTGTTGTTGGTTGGGTATCTGCATCACCTCTACCTCTGTTTTCTCTACGTTCACTTGAAGTCCCTTCTTCGCTGCCTCGCCTCTTCTGTCAACTTGTCAGTTTTTGCCTGTAGATCTTCAAGTTTGTGTGACATTAGACACAAGTCGTCGGTAAAATCCAAATCTTCTAGGGTCTTTTCATCGGTCCAGCCAGCGTATGCCCATCTTCTCGCTCCTCACTGTTTGTTGCATGATCCAGTCCACTCGACCACAACCAGGAATATCATGGGTGATAGTAGGCAGCCTTGTTTTACTCCTGTCTTCACTTCCACTTCTAACGCATCACTGAGCTTTCCATTGTGAATTGCTTGGCATACGGCGTCTTCTTATAGTTGTTGAATGAGGTTGATAAAGGTTTGTGGTATTCCATAGTGTTGAAGCCGTTGCCTGCCAAATTACTTCTCGGTCGACGCTGTCGAAGGTCTAAACAGCCTATATTCAATACTTTTCTTGTTGCACGTTCATAGCTTTTTGCTAGCACTAAGGATTAACGTGCGTTAAGGTTGAATTCATGTGCCATAGTCAGAATTTTAGTTCATACGTCATGCAGACTAACTTTTGAATTTCCAGAGGATAATTAATAAACACGAAAGGCAGTATTCGTGACGAGCTGAAATTACTTGTGGAACGATTGAAAACCTGGGAACATTGGACCGTTGTTTCGTCCCAATGTGGGATCATTGGTTTCCGACCTAGTGGCTGAATTCTCATTGTGCTGGCCGCGAAACCTGACAATCCTGAGTCCGGTTCTTGGCGATGTCATGAGTGCTTACTGCTAAGGAGTTCCGTATGAGGGCAAAACAGTTGCCCAGTGCTCCCAGGTTTCCCATGGTTCTCTAACTGATGATAAATACCACGCTGTAGTCAATAGATCCCCACAAACCTCCAAACTTAAACTTGAGATTAAATGTCAAAGGTAATTATCAAGCGATTCGTGTTTATTCGTATTTTAGAATATAGATCCTTGAAAATCCTATCGTAGTTTAAAATAGTTTAGGAAACTAAGCTGCTTGTTTTATTGCTAAAACCCAGGACAATTAGAGTTGGACTGGTTTTTTGGTAGTATTCTTATCAGAAAAATTTGAGCAATAAATTCTGCTTGAAACGTCATCCAGCAAAGAATACTTAATCACTGTGTGCTACATCAGATAATACACGTAGTATGAAATAATACTCTGCCACGATGCCGAGTTTTTACCCTTACTTTTGTATTTTACGCTAAATCTGAATGTTGTACTTTTGATCCGGAACCCGACCGATAGCTGCTATCTTGACGTAGTGGTCCGGCTTGTATGTCACAATGACCCAACAAACTATGCTGGTGGAACGCTTGTTGTCTGTAGGTCCTACCATACCAGAAACGTCTTTTGAATAGTGGTTAAACAAGCAATTACCATTATAATGTAAATTGCTACTCTATGAACGGAGTCTGAGGGCGAAGTTCTACTGCCTCCTGGACAGGGATGTGACAACAGTAAGGCATTTCCTTCAGATGACTAACAGTGCCACGCTGATGTTGTTCTCCCTATAGGGATTGAGGGAGCGGGGGTTGGAAAAGGTCGGCCTCAAAAATAGCACACTCAGCATGCCGGTG